TTCGTATACAAGAAAACCTCACAAAATGCCCCAAAAGCAGCATGTGCTTAGTAATGGAAACCAACTACAAAGGTGATTAAATGCAGCCAACACTGAAAAGGACTATAAAACTTTTTTTTTTTTTTATGCATTTCTTTCTCTCTATACCCCCCCAAAAAAAACCTTTACTGTCCTCTATCTCATGACTGACACGAATCATTTGAGTTCAGAAGACTAAGGAGCTTTTATTTGTAGGTGTTCAGCATTTAACTGAGAAGTTTATGCTCAACATCTCTCAAGTCAAGACTCAAGTGATGTGTCCAAGGCTACATAGCAAGTCAGTGCTACAGCTGGGACTGGATCTTCCATCTCCCAACATCAAGGCAGTGGTTAAAACTTACATATTCAAACCGATCCTTGCAGAGCTGTACCATGAGATGGAGAAACACCAGCCCAGAGAACCAAAGGCACCACATGACAACTTCTTCCACCGTCTGAACATTGAGCACGCCAAAAATAAATATAAACTTGTAGAAGATGAAATTCCAGAATTTGTCCTTGAGATGCTAAAAAAGGAAGACATGCATTTATTTTCTGTAGTTAACATAAAAACAACACTTAACTAGCTGCCCATACCTCAAACAGCTACTGTTCTAATAACAATACTTCATATTTTATACAACACTCTTTAAACAAGTAACACCATAAGATTCATTATTAGTGTTTACACTGCCCTATGAGACAGGGCAGTGTCATCACTATTTCACAAGGGGGAAGGCTAGCTAAAGTTCATACAGCAAGTCAGCAGCAAACTTGAGCATGGAAACCCTGATGCAGGATTCTCCACACTACTTGTTTTTATTAGATCCCAAATACATTAAGGTCGTGCCTACAAGCCACAATGTACCCGACTCCCTGCAAAGTAAACAGAATGGTTCCTGCTCCAAAGAGCTTGCAGTCTAAGTTAAGAAGCAAAAGCTGGGTGTAACAGATAATAGAAAGGAATGCTGAAAGAACATCATTACGATGCATTAACACAGGCCAGCTACAAACACAGCCAGATGCACTTTTTTTTGTTTTAGAATTACAAGATGTGAATGCCACACAAAAAAAATGAGAAGTCCCTATTATCCATCTAGCTTCCATTGCATGCCACTGTCTGGTAAGATGCATTTGATCAAATGACCATTTTGTACCACTGCAAGAGAACAGTGCAGCACTGTAGATGGAGTAAATAGTTTCTTACTAGCCATTTGTTTTGTGCTTAATGGGACCCGGATCTCAGTTAGAGCCTGCAAGCTGAAGCAATGTGGCTGTTGGGACACAAATATTACCGTGTTCTCTTCCAGCTTGCCAGCATGTTCCCAATAACTTAATTGCTGGCATGCAGAGAAAAGGTTAAAACCAATCTAGTCCTCTACAGAAACATTAAAAGCTTGCTTGGTGATTATAAAGCCCACATTTAAGAATGAAGAAGAGCTATACTGAGACAGGACAAGCATTCCCCAACACATACAATAAGAAAAAACAATACTTTGGTTAATTATGCCAGAGTAAAAACCAAAAGCATAGATTGAAGGACTAGGGAAGTTTTATGAAATATCTTACTAATCAACTCTATAAAAGCACAATGAAGATATGAACAGTCCAGTTAGAACAGGCTAATAAATCCTGTCACATTTTGGCCAACCAAAATAACCAGTTTTCCTTTGGGAGGCTAACAAAGTGCACTCCAGTTATTAAAAGGTCAAAGGATCCATACTCCTAGACACTTTCTTGTCAGTGTTTAAGGGGACAGTGAACATGCTAGAAACTGGTACTGACATAGCTTTGAATTCCATGTACATATGGTCAGCAGGGACTGACAGATTTGGCATCAGTGCCTTAAGGACATGGGTCACAAAGGATAGACTGCAAAAGATCATTGAAAGAAATACTGGTACCCTACCTGAGGGTTTCATTTTTTTTCAGGATGACTATATTCTCAACAACATACTTCAAAGGAACACTAACTCCAAAATAATTCCACCATCTGATTAAAAATACCTCTGAAATAATATATCTTGAAAACTTTCTTTTTTTAATCCTTTTAAGGAGAGTTCTTTCCCTTTTTCCCTGCTAAACTTCAGAAAAGATTTCCAGGAAAACATAAAAATAGTTGTAAGTGTAAGTAAGTATGCTTGGATCAGCCCTCTCTCTTGACGCTGACTGGTGCTTCCTCAGTTTCAATTTACCATCTAGAGCAGGAACATAAACACCCTCTCCTTTCAGAGACTGAAGAAAAGATACTCATGAGCTTCTCCACTATGCAAGGCAGGAGAATGATGTCTTTACACTGACCAATGACACAACAATGAAAAGAGACTCATACGCACAAACTAGAGAGAAAAAACAGGAGAATCCCCCCACACCTCCTTGAATCTTTTCCCAGATTAAGGATACCTATAAAAACGTATATGATGGAAATATGATTGCTAAATTCAGTGTCCTTCTATATTATCAATGGATCAAAAAAGGTTATAGCTGTCCTTCAGGAAGCTTTGTGGGTTCTTGTATGAACTGGAGAAGTTGTTTAACAAAAGAAAATTGTAGAGGACTTTTGGGTTCCTACTGAATTTCCACTGCTTCTACAAGATGGCATTTTCAAACTGTCTTCTGTAACTCAAAATCATGAAGAAAATCCCCTCTGAATTTGCAATAAAAAAAAAAAGGAAAAGAAATGTTGATAAGACATACTGACAAAATATTCTGATGAAGCCACTGTAAATGCTTAATTAAATCTGCATATCAATAAAGCTTCCATGTTGGGGACATTAACTGTTAATTATGAAACTTTCAATATTTCAAAAATATGATACGGAACACTCGCAACTAAACAGGATTCAAATAACCACGTATACAATAGCAAGGCAATCTGTCTCTCTTACTTACCTGCCTCTCACTGACTCGAAGAGGACCAAACACCATGCACTGGATTAATTTAGCAACTAACATCAGAAAACAACAGGCAGTATTCACAAGTACCTGCAAAGAAATTAAGTAATCCCCCTCATTATTAGGTATATATACTGCTTTAATTTCCAGGACAGATGCACACAATATTAACCATGGTCCACATCAAGACCAGGGCATTCACAAGCTATGAAGAGATGTGCAAAAATGCCATCAACTGGGAGCTGTTTTGATTAGAAATCATTATCTAATTAGACTGATTTGTTTAACAAATTAGAGCCTTTTAACACCCAATGGGACAATATATTACTGTGAACATTTTATAGAATAAAGTTAATAAACTTAAAAAAATACAAAAATCAATTCATTATTAAAACTTTAAATTATTGGAAGCGATTCTTTTAAAATCCATTGGCTTGTTACATTTCTTTCATCTTAAAGCAATGGGGGGATGGGGGGAATCAATAGTCAGTTTTACTGTTGTTTATTCAGCATCATTTCCAAGATCCTAATTTTGGATTAGTTGCCACCCAAACATTAAAGAACATATTAGTTTAAAATACATAGTTTCCAATGGAACATTTTAAAATTGCAAAATATTTCCATTCCCCTCAGGTTTGATAAAAGTATGCTAGACTATTTTAAATTTGGAGCCAAACTTAAGTTGTCAGGATGCTTTACAAAGAATCTCCATCACTGGGCTCTAAAACTGAGGCCCTTCCCCTCCCCCCCTACACTCAACCCCACCCAAATTAAAGTTTTGAATTTTCCAAAAGCCACTTTACAGTAGCTGAGACAGCTTGTGTATGTCCGAAGCCAAAACACATTCACCTCACTACAGGTTTGTTATTTCTTAAAGTAACTACAGAATTAATCTCTACGTTTCCCGCTGCTAAGGTTTCTTAGTTCTTGCAGTCTACCTTCACTGTTAGATTGCTTAATACAAAGTTAGAAAATTCCAGTTTCAACATATTACAAGGACATCATTCATATCAGGTCTCAAAATCTAATCAATAAGTTATATACTTTCTGCAACTGCATCAATTAAGTCTCTCTTGGATTACAGCTCTTGGCAGTCATTTTAAACTAAAGCCATCAAAAACAGAAAATGCTGAATTGTTTAAACTTATCTCATACTTTTGATGAGCAAAACCTTTTGAATTATGCACATCAAAATACATGAGGAAAAATGTGACAAGAGATTATATTCCAGCAAAATGCACTTTCAAGGGACATTGTAAATTTTTGAAGGACTCTTAAACAGATAAAGCCCCATTTCAAAATCGGACTCGGGAGGCTCAGCCCTTTGGGTTCGTTATGGATAATTTTTCCAAAGTACTTAAAAATCATATATTGTAAATAAACATACCCTGGGTTTTTATATTCTATTATTATATTTATATTACATTATCAAACATGAAAAAAAATAATCTAATTGAAGTATCACGTTCTTTGTTGAGTTTGCATTTCACGAGATTATTAAAATAAATAAAGTAAGTTTCACCCAATAACTGTTATTTCCACTTGCAGGTAATAAGATTGCATGTTTTGATGTGAAACACGACAGAGGATTTACTTTAAAAAAAAATTATTTAGGCAACTATAGAACAAAACCCCAGCACATTAGAAACACACAGGAATTGCATGTCATGACATTTTTACAAAGAAATACTACAAGGGTTATAACTGATCACTTGCACTATTTGTGTAAACATTTCTATTGGTGTTAGATTTTGTAAGACCTTGTTTTCACAACTTTTACAAAGTGGTTTCAAACACAGGACTCGCTTACAAATACTTCCTACAGAGTAGCATGTTTAATATTCTGAGTAGCCTTCTGCCTAATCCCAAAGTGTTACAGGCACCATGACCATAATGTTTTGAGTTCACAGAATCCCTATTATTTTAAATAATGACATTCTAAAATTATGTCACCTAAGAGGAAGACAATTTAGCAAGCTAATTACAAAGGTACACTACATTTGAGTCTCTAGTACAAATGAACATTAAATACGGAAGCCAGTTCAAATATTACTATTTTAGTGGACTCAAGGAAAATGACCATTTTGGGGTTGTTTTTTCTAAATCTGGTTCATTTATACTAATGCAACGTGAGTCTTGCCCTGTCAGAGGATCCTTATCCTTTCCCTTGCCTTTTACTTTCCTTTCCCTGAGGGCACCTACACACATGCCCAAAGCCTGCTCCAACATGCTCTAATTAGAATGCATTGTAGCAGACTTGATTATCAAATTGATTCTGCTCACTTGAGCTTTAGTTAAAGTGCCCCATTGGCATTTTGAAACACAGGGAAGCTGCATATATATGACACGGAGGCTGCTGGAGTGCTTCAATTAGAACAGCCCAGCAGCCTAAGTGTCATGTGTATTCAGGGTCTCTGCATTTCAAAACAGCAGTGGGGGCGCGCTTTAACTAAAGCTTGTCAAACGTGTTTTAGTTAAAGCATCCTCGCTGCCACGTTGAAGCACGGGACACTGAATACACGAGACATTGGAAGTATTTTTATTAGAGCAGCTCCCAAGAGCCACTCTAATTAAAGTGCCTCACCCCACCAACCCCAGAGACCACAAAGGAGTCACCCCTGCCTTTCACAAGTTGCCAACATTGTTCCTTCCCTCCACCAGAACGGTTTCCTAGACAGTAAAAACTGTGTACATTGGATCACCCATAGAAGAACTTGTATTACTTTACTACAAATATCACTTGAAATGTTTGAGGACTGGTCATCTGTGACCCTGTGATACAGACCCCAATCTGAACATTCATTTAGAACAAATTGCTTATCCCCAGCTCCACCCTAGTCGTGTTTTGGGGATGTCCTAGGAGATGCTCAGCCCATACCTATACAAGAACTTATTTCTGAAGAGCAAAGGCCTCAAACATTCCTCTGAACCCCCCCACAGGTAGGTACCAAGCTGCCTTCAAGGCCTTGCCGCACCTTCTTATGAAAGCTGGACAGAAACCAACTGTAGGGTTACACATTTTCAAGCACTCCCTTGGGAGCTGGTGGGGTCTTTCTAGGTGGGGGAACATTTGTATGGTGTGAGAATTACTTTACAAGTGAGATCAATCTGCAATGATTGTGCAATTTAACCAATGAATTGCACGATTGATGCAATGCTTGGCAAGGACCCCCTGCCTTACATATGCCACGAATCCATTGGTGAACCGCGCGGTAAATTCAGACCAGCCACAGGTGCAAAGTAATCCTCACAACACACAAAGTCCCTGCAGGCAGAGGCAACCCCCCCCCCACTCCCTGAAAGCAGGGAACAACCCTGCAGCCGGTCTGGTCTGGGCAGCCTTCACGCGGGCCTGCAAGGGCAGCAGGGCTGAGGTCTCCCAGGGCCTGTGCAGGCCTGAGGCAAACCTGCCCGCGCTGGTGGGAACGGGGCAGCCACGCTCCCGGCTCCCACACAAGCAGCGGAGGCCCAGTCCGGCCCTGCTCCCCCTGCTGAAGCGGCCGGCCCCAGCCTCGGCCCCTCCTGCCCAGCCAGAAGCCCCCCGGGCCCAGGGGCCTGTGCAGCCGCCGGTGTCCGTGCTCACCCAGACGCAGAGGCTGTCTGATAGCAGGTAGTAGGCGACGTCCAGCGGCAGCGGCCCGGCACGGCTCGGGCTGGGCTGTGGCTCAGGTTGGGGCTGGGGCTCGGGCCCTGGCCAGGCGGCAGGGGCCTGGCTGAGGGCGCGGTAGGCGCTGAGGACGCAGCCGAGCAGCGCCAGGGCGCTGAGCCCCGCGTACGTGCGCAGGCTGGGCCAGGGGAAACGCTCCAGGAACAACAGCGGCGTAGCGACTGC